TATCAGATCCTACTGGTAACATGTTCTTTACGACGTTATTTTCCTTCATGGCGATCATAACTTCACAGGCTAATAATTCTTGTCTCCCTGCTGGCCACTTATGGTCATCTCAGGGGATACATCTAGCCCGCAGACCATTCAAAGATTTTATTACTGGTGAATTAATCAGCAGAAACTATTAAAAGTGTATTTAATATTCTTTCTTGGTCGCCTCTGACATTTTAGGAAATCTTTTTAATTCGATGTGATATAAATGGCCCGAAACTCTACGGAATGGAACCCACATTTGGATATACGAAAGAATAAGCTCCATCCGACAACCGACTTTCATCTGAAAGATCCCTTAGTTTGCTTGTAAGAAATAAAAAAACATTTATCTTTTATCGGGAAAATGTGTGATAAATGTATTCCGTCAACAGCATCTCAGAGAAGCACTAGCAGTAGGAAAAAATAATGTTCAATTTGGTAAACATTATCAATAAAAAAAACAATAACAACAAATGGCGGTATTAAGGTTACAAATAATGTTCAATTTGTTAGACAATAACAAATGGCGGTGGTAAGGTTACAGTGCAGAGGAAATGAAACAGAAGGAGAAAAGAAGAAGAAAGAAAAAAAAGAAAAAGAAAGAAGGTAGAGTTCGTCTTCGATGCAAGGAGATGTTTTCTGCGTCCGGTGTGGACGGCGAAGGATGGGCGTGTCCGAATCCCTTGACGTCAGAATGCTTGAGAAGAACCAGAGGCGAGGGAGCTTTCTCTTTGAAATCCCAGATCACGTGACAACGAGGCGGCGTCAACAAAGGAGAATTAACACTTATTCTTATCAAACTCCTCTTGTGTAAGGATAATGAACAGCAAACTGAAGGCAAAGTGTCTTTCTTACCAACCCTCTGAAAGCGCGGCTCGAACACACCCAGAGACAAGGCCCCGGGACTTGCTGTTTCAAATCCCGATTCATACGAAAATTTGCCTTTGTAAAATAAGGTATTCGAACGATGGTTCACATAAAACAAACTTGCCATTGTGCAGGGTTTATTATTAGATAACAAGCGGAAGGTAAAATGCGTCTTCTCCTCTGGTTTGGTTCGCCCAGTCCGTGCTCAAGGATTTCCCAAGTTGATCCGCGAGTCAGACTGGCTTTCTTCTTTTCACGCTCTAGTTCAGATTTCAGATTGTTTCGGTCGTAAGAGGGAATCGCTGCGGGTTCGTCCAAAAGTCCAGATTCCGAAGCCGATCGCCAGATTTGCGCCGCCTGTTAAAGTCCGCAATATTTTCCCGTCGTGGCGATGCTGTCGATCCAGTTCACATAGTCTGCAAAATGATATCACGATAAGATGGAGACACAAATACTTGGAGATGCCATGATTGCAGTGCTTCTTTTCGGTCCAATATTTACCCTTCATGAAATATTAAACCGAAATACAAAAAATAATATTTAATGTTACCATTGTCTTTTTAATTTTCATTATCGAGTATAATTACAAAATCATTACAATATGTTTTCTGTCTGACATTCCACGGCAAGGAGTAAGCCCTGCATATACAATCATTCTTGTATTGCAAAAATGTACAGAGCAATCAACATTAATCAGACTATAATTTGCTCGCTTGTCCCCCTGGGCTTTACAAGACGTCACAGACAAGTGTCTGGACTGCGGTCGCAAAGGCCGAGAGCATTTCTTACTTGGCAGGTCCGTGTAGACGCCGTATCTGCCCGGGAGCGCGCAGCCCGAGCCCCAGCTGACCACCCCGGCGAGGTAGTGCCGCCCGTCCGCCTCCTCGACCGTCAGGGGGCCGCCGCTGTCACCCTGAAGGGAGGAGAGAACATGACAGGACTGATGCGTGTTCCCTTAACTGCTCAAATGGAAAAAGGAAATGAGATGCACCCGACTTAGATCGCCTGCACTTGGGCGCACGAAATGTCATCGTCATTTTGTCTTGTGAAATGTTCAACAAGAGATGTTCAACAAGAGCAGCAAGAAGAGTTTACTTGGCAGGAGTCCTTCCCGCCCTGGAGCAGGCCGGCGCAGATCATGTTCTGAGTGACGGAGCTGCCGTACACGGCCTGGCACTCGCTCCGCGTGGTGATGGGTATCGTCACCTCCCTGGCGACCTCCGGCTGAGTCCCTCCTGCGGCAATCAGAGAAGGGGAATGAGGCTCGCGGAGGGAAAAGGCCCGGTGCCTCTTCTCCCGAAGGAAAGGAGACACCAGGAAAGAAAGCTAGGAAAAGATACGAAAGTAGCCAGCTGAGCCCTGACCGGCAGAGCAGGCCCTGGACTCGACTGGTCGGTGGACGCACCCGAGGAGGTGGTGCCCCAGCCGGTGGCGGTGGCGTCCCTGCCGGAGAAGTCTGCGTTGAGAGGAGGCATGCACACGGGCTTGACTCCGGGCCAGTTGGTGAAGCTGACCTTGTCCTTGATGTGCACCAGAGCGATGTCGTTGTCCAGCTGCGAGGAGACAAGTGGTCAAGAAAGGTGCCGGAAGGACAGAAAAAAGTCTGATCATCTCTCAGCAAAGTGTGACGCGAGGAAACTCGGGCTCAGACCTCGGTCTGCTTGCTCTGAGACCGAGCGACTCACCGTGTTGGTGTTGTAGCTCGGGTGGACGACGATGCGGTCGGCGGCCCGCGTGATGATGCGAGTCGGCCCGTTGTTCCAGTCGTGCATGTTGAACAGGACGTCCACGCTGCTGGGCGAGGCTCTGGGGGCGTCGGCAGAAAGGAGAATTATTGATCGCTGTCTCAAGGGAAATGACTATTTTCCAAGTAGCATCAAAGTGACCCTTTTCAGGGAACCAAATGAAAAGAGAGTCAGAGAGGCAAGTGGGAGGGGACTCGAGGGTCAGAGAGGCAAGTGGGAGGAAGGGGTCAGAGAGGCAAGTGGGAGGGGACTCGAGGGTGGGAGGGACTCGAGGTCAGAGAGGTGGGGAGGGGACTCGAGGGTCAGAGAGGCAAGTGGGAGGGGACTCGAGGGTCAGGGAGGCAAGAGCAGAGAGAAGGAGCGACGCCCACCCGACGACGCAGTGGGCGGCGGTGATGATCCACTCGTTGTTGAGGATGGAGCCTCCGCAGAAGGGCCTGTCCGTCCCGCCGGCGCCGGACAGCCCCACGAGCCACGGGTACTCGTTGACCTCGTTGGCCACCCCGCCCACGATCCTGTTGCTCCTGTTGGGCTCGCCACAGCCTGCGGCGGGCGGAGGCAGTTCCGCGAGGTTAGCTTTCCGTCGGCATGAGTTTATTTCATGTTCGCGACCGACTGGTCAGCGAGCGAGTTGTATTTGCACTTTACATTCAGGTTCGCAGCCTCCCTCTGCAGATTCTTCTGAAGGGCGGACGATACTTACGGCAAGCGAGCGAGTTCGGGTCGCGGGTCGTAGTTGCGGCTGTTGCTGTGGTCGTCGGGGCAGCGGTTGTCGTCGGAGCAGCGGTGGCGGTTGACACAGCAGCAGTCGTCGTCGTCGCTGCGAAATGGGAAAGGGGGAAATGAGGCAACCTCTTAGCAAGAGAGGGATGGCACGAACCCAAATTCAAGGCAATCCAATCATCTCAGCGTTCACATTTCTGGAAACTAATCCACCGAAGTTTCTGTTTGTCCTTTTGATCCCGTCAGCAGAAGACGGGAAAGGGACCTGCAGTTCGTGGTGCACGTACATCCAGAGGCGGTGATGACGCAGTAGAAGCCGCTGCCCTGCCTGAACCTGTCGCTCCGGAAGCTGAGACGCACGTTGGGTCCGCACGTCTGGAGAGTTCCTGGCCGATTCCTCCCGCAGTACCTGACGGGGAGATTTCGCTGCGTCACAATGCGAAGCCCAAAGAGAGTAATGGTTTGGCTTTGAAAGTCCCATTGATATCCAGTCACGTGACTGAGAGAAGCTGGCTCACCTTCTCCAGGAACATCTCTCCGAGATGACGAGGCGATCTCTCCAGCATCGAGAGCTGCCCTGGATGCCCACGCGCGAGCACGTGACCTGCAGCGTCAGATCGGAAGTGGCGCCCTGGAAGGACACGTTTTTACTTGGACTCAGCGTCGATCAGCGCAGTGAGTAAAGCCCGCGAGTGCCCCGGAAGCCCTTATTCAGGTCCTCAGAGATGAAGACCCGACCGACTTCCCCTTCGCTGAATGGCCCAGTTATTGCTCCACTTTCGTCACATGATAGAAATGACAAACCAAACCAGAAAAGGAATGCCTGGACCTCACCGCATTGGTCTGCAGGCAAAGCCGAGGCAGCCGTCCCTACCCGAATGGTCCAGCCGTTGTTCCAGTTGCGAGGGTAGTTGTTGGGGAAGCGCGGCGAGGCGACGCACACCTGCTCTCCGGCGCCGATGACGGTCGTGCTGCCCGGGCTCGCCGTGTCCAGCCCGCACGCCACTGGGGACAGAGGGACATAGGGATATATATATATGTGTGTGTGTGTGTGTATGTATATATATACACATGTACAAGGGCTGACAATTTCATGCGATATCGGAAGCGAAGCGAAGCGCGAGCGTGACTCACGGGCCCTCTCGCCGAGCCGAGGTTCGACCACGACGGAGCCGTCGGCGCGCTGGAAGGAAAGGGAAGTGTTCAGGGTCAAACTTCCTCTTGGAAGCGAACTGATCTGGTGATCTGAATCGGCTTCAGCAGCCACCGATCATGGCCACGAGCCTGGTTTTATGTTTTCCTTATTTATTCGAAAACCATATCGCTTTTTTAACAACCAATGTAAAGCCACATAAAGCCAAGCCAAAAGCAGTATATTTTCTGGCCGGAATGCCCTTCTGAACTACTGAACTGACTCTACTTCGTCTCTGAAAGCAACGTCTTCCCCGCGCCCCCCCCCCCGCCCTCACTCACCCCCCCGAAGGCCTCGGCGCAAGCAGCCAAAAGCAGTGAAGCTGCAACGACTCCCAAGAAATTCGTCATGTCCGAGGTCTCTTCGGGTGCCAGGAGGAAGCTGCTGATGTCAGCCCAGTCCACGCTGACTCTGGCTGACGACGCCAACGCTCGGCCTATATACAT